AACGGGAAGACATGTATAAAAACGGATGAGATAAAATGAACTAGCCTTTACGTGAAAAACTAAAAAAAACGATTAATAAGCTGAGGCAAAACCACAGTTAACTATTAAATTGGGCGAAACTAAAAAAAAAGTAATCTACCGAACTTATAGCTCAGAATAGATTGTTTAGATCAGATATGGTACTTTTGTTGCGTAAGAACACAGCAAAAGTTTGAGAAATGCAAACCAGGTTAGGACTAAACTTCCCGTTTGAACAGCGCTAACCATTGACACTGAAAATACACTGGAAAAATTGATGGTTCTTACTGCACAAATCAACTTCAAGAAATATCAGTTTTCATAGCGATAAAACTGTTAGTCAGTTTTATTATCTAAACATTTTCGTCATTTAAAAAACAAAAAATTACATACTAGACATTTTACACTCTAATTTGCAATAACTATCAACATGATAGAGTCAATCTAATCAAAGATCTGTTAAGAAAAACTGCACTGAATTTTAATGATCAGAGTTTAATAACTGTTTATTATCAGATGATTTGGTGTGTGAACAAAATCTTAACAATTTAGAAATTTCTGAAAAATTCCCATCATGTTAAAAACACAGATATATGAACGTACAGCATTCTTTTCAATAAAATCCCTTCAGGTTCTACAATTATCTATCCAAATGAATAATTTAAAAGATAAAATTTATAAGTTATTAATAAAAAATTATGGTATATAATATGGAATATTATAACAATAATCTATCATGCATTACAAATAATTAAGCCAGAAAAAAACACATGAAATCAGAGCTCTAAAGGTTAAGACAATAATAAATTATCAGAAGGGGTTTTGTGGAGATTGTAGTAATTTCAATGATTAAGATCATGAGTCAGTTGAAGCTAGACCACCATGGAAAACCTGGAAGCACTGGACGGCCGTTTCGTCCTATTATGGGACTCCTCAGCAGTGCGCATCCACGACCTCGCCCCCTGCGAGATTCGAACCCAGGACCTACTGGTTTCGCGCGCGAGGTATATCCTGGAGTTCTAGTGAGAAGTAGTGACCAGTGGAGTTCAACCAGGTCTGTTGTGGGATAGTAACTCACTGAAGACAATGGTGGATGTGTCGCTCGATTTCGTGGATTAGTTGAAGTTAGACATTAACACCGTTGGATGCCGGCTCAGTGGTCTAGTGGTTAAGTGCTCGCGCGCGAAACCAGTAGGTCCTGGGTTCGAATCTCGCAGGGGGCGAGGTCGTGGATGCGCACTGCTGAGGAGTCCCATAATAGGACGAAACGGCCGTCCAGTGCTTCCAGGTTTTCCATGGTGGTCTAGCTTCAACTGACTCATGATCTTAATCATTGAAATAATAAATTAATAGCCAGTGTTATTATGCATCTAATATGGTACAAGCTTGATCAACGATGTAAAAGCCAACTCTAACACTCTCAAAATCAAAGTTTAATTAAAGTATATTAACAGATATATCCAAAACTAAAAACAAATCACTTAGATTAATGAGGATCAGCTCAATGGTTTTAAGTAATATTTAACTACGGAAACAAATACAATACAACTTTACATTATGCCAAGAAGACTAATTTTATTATAGCAAAAATATAAGTATATCCAGGTATACATCTATTGTGTTAAAAAATAAATACAATGTTATTGAAAATACATTAATAAATTCGTGTACTGAAACACCTGTAACTTTAAGTTTATACACTCCATGGAAGAAAGGTATATTGATTAAAAGCAAATTTCTAGAGTTGTTCTCTCAACTATTTACCAATAAACATTACATTTGTAGATATTCGCTTTAATTTTAATGATCATTATATACTTCTGTTGTAATTGTTCCCCAAATTTAACAACTGATTTAAATTAATTACTATTTAAAATATCTTGAACTATATTGCTAAACGAGTGAAACCATAAAATAAAGTGATTTAATCATTTTTCTGAAACTTTGTCACCTTGTTAAAATGTAAAATTCATATACATTCTATTAAGTAAATAGACAATTGTTCTGAGGTTATAGTGACGAACCATAATCTATGAATTCCTGTCACATTGAAACTGGGACAATTATCACTCATGAAATTTTATAATAGTTATAATATACAACAAATTTGAATGAAGTAATTAAATAGTACTAAAAATTGCCGAGATACCTGAAGTTACTGAGTTGGATGCTTAATGAATTCGTGTGTATAGCATTGAAACAAAAAAAATTCAACTAACATTTCTTTACTCCTTTGTTTTCAGTGATTACCCAGGTTATTTGTGTTAAGTTCTCTACTAGAATACGCACGAAAAGACTCTATAACGGATGACACTCGAACGTTATAACCTCCAATCGCTCTCAAGTAAGAAGACGAAAGACGTTTTCTTACCAGATCTGTATTTCTTGGGATAGACTTGTGGAGAGTAACGTCTGCGAGTTTTATTTCTACATCTGGTTTCTTTGTGCCCCTTTTTGTGACATTTAGTGCAGAAATATTCTTTGTATGGACAAAACTTCTTGTAATGCCAACCTCCACATGACCAGCAAGGAGATGAGGGCTGATTGTCTGTGCTGTATGGTTTTTGTGAGCCGGAGTCTTTCTTTTCACTAACAGCATGCACGTATGACGGCCGGCTATTGTTCTCGACCATGGAGGTATCATGTTTCAAATTTACTAATCTCTGATACTCTGCAGTTATTTCTTGTAGTGAGATGTTTGGGCACTGATCAATTTTGCTTAAGATTCTGGTTCTTATATCCGCATCTTCGGGAGATTGTAGGCTACACACAAATACGAGGCACTTAAACTGGTCTTCCGTCATTGATGATAGTTTGAATCGTTCACATTCACGGTTTATTAGGCCGGCATGTTTTACCCAATCATCCTCACTTGACTTCGTTATTTTGAGGCATTGATAACGAATATTAAAGAGAGATGATTGTTCAGCGAAGATTTGCGTCAGAGTTTCGATTGTTGCATCAAAAGAGAAATCTCTTGGATTCTTTGGGAGGATGAAATTACTATAACGTTCATGTTCAATCGTGCCAAGCTTTCTCAAGAGTATTCTGACCTTGGCAGCGTCATCCAGTTTGTTGAGGTCTACCTTGAACAAATCTTCATACTTCTTGAACCAAGACTCGAAAGTCACACCAGCTAGGCCATCAAAATGAAATTCCTGAATGGAATTAATTATCGAGTCTGCCTCGTTCTTTTGTCCTTATGGATTTGATTCGTATGTCGTATACATGTTCCAAAAGTTCCTCGGACTCTGTACAGAACTTTTCCTAACTTTTGTACAATTTTTCCCGGCCATCCCAACAATTTGACTTTATGATGAATGAACTAACACACTTTGATAGAAATACATATTGAATGAGACTTGAAAATAGAGAGATTTATTCATTTAAAAAAAATCAGAAATGCTTTAATAAGTCAGTACAACTAAACTTTGGATTAAGAAATAGTGATAAAGGACAAAGTTTTACAGCCGAACGTTATTTGGAATTTTTTGTACAGAAATTTATATAAATGCACGAACAAGATGATGAATTATTCCTTATTTATACCTTAGAACATTAATAAATCTAATCATGTAGGTATTTTCACGTAATTTTAATGCAATACACGAAAACAAAAAAAAATCTTGTAAGATATAAATATATGAATATATTATGCATGCTATAAAACAGGGACACAGTAAAAGCAACTAAGAAAGCAAGTTTGATAAGGTAAAGTCAATTTAACAGATGTAAGAATTAATCTCTGAATAATTTAAAAATAAAGTCTGCCATTCTTCTACTCACAGTTCCCTACTTTATTTTATAAGCAGCCATTTTCATTCGTTTCAAAATTGCAATATATACATATATGCTCATAACCAGAGAATACTCAATGGACATTAACATGTAAACAATAACACAGGAATTGGGTCAAGTATTCAAAAAATCTAATGCTTTTTAGTAGATAATAAGTCTTGGAAGGCATACAAGAAAGATCAGTTATAAAAGTCAGATAATGTACATTTATACTTAAGATTTCTTTTAGCATATTTTACAGTTTATTAATATTCAAGCAAATACTGAAAATCAAATCCAAATGTTTATGTATTTGTTAGCTGATGATGTTAGATTTGTGTAAAAACTGGTCAGAAACCACAAAATATATCCACTTAGTCGTTTAAGGGGATAATCGGTTCTGTGATACTTAATTTCAGAAAACATTAATGATACTTCACGTGTGTATATTTGAGAAATATATATATATATATATATATATATATATATATATATATATATATATATATATGTCTTGTTGGTCTAGGAATAAGGCTAATAATCTTTCCACCTTCTTTCGTCTATTTGCTGAAATCATATAGTTAGCTGTCGTATAATAGATGCTGTAAATAGGTTAGACAGCAAACATTATGATAACTGCCGAACTGTCCTGGTAGCCATTAGTATTGTTTTGTTTTACAACATGGTTAACTATTACATTGATAAATAATTGTTCAAACAACTATTGGTTGAAATAGGATGTAATAGGTAAACGTAGTAATAACAAAACACACAAATTAAAGAAAATGATTCCGGGATATGACAGATGAATCCAACACAAAACGTGGAGCATTGATTATTGTTGCATTACTTTCCTATTGAGAAGGGTGTAAATATATTCACGATGTTGCTAGGTATAGGGTACTCGACAAAGATGAAGAATTGAGTAATGGCGTCCAGGGTACGCGATACGTATATCTAACCACTGGCTACCTAGATAGGTAATGTTTACTAGTATGGGAGTAAGTTATAAGAAGGCAACACAGAAAGTTACAAATTGAAATATAGTCACACCATTAATAATCAAAATACCTAAGTAAATAATAATACAGAAGATTTAACATTTTCATCAGAATTATGATTTTTTTAACAAAGCTGTAAGAAAATAAAATAAGTAATAATATATTCATGTTTTATAGCAGAGGTAAACATTGAATCTAACTTACTGTAAACCTGATTCATGATCTGCAGGACCACCAGGATTAACTCGTGTCACATAAATATCGGTATCATTATCATCTGGACCCAAAGTGTTGTCATGTCCACCTGCAATACTAAATCCAAATCCTTTAGAACTTTTTTCAATAATAACTTCCATAGTAACAGGCAAACGACTGAGTAAAGCCCATTGTCTGTCACTAAATTCATCATTTTCAAGATTATTTGGTGGAATGTCATCATGAATAGACAAAAGATCATTTGAACAAGTACTTTCATCTAATTTTCTAGACAATCTAGCATCAAATTCATGAGTCAAAGTTGATTTCGGTCGTTTTAAACGTTTTTGACGTGGTTTCGCCACCGGAATATCAGGTGACAATTTTATATCATATAGTTTCTTATTAGAACGATCGTCAACAAAATGAGGATTTTCTGTTATAAATTCAGTATCAGTATTTCTTTTTAGTCGGTTATCTGACGTATTCTCCAATGATGGTGACTGATTTACATTATGTGACGAATTAGATGATTGATATTCATATTTTAGATCTGGTTCCATATGCTTCCATGATTTGTCCAAGTTGACCACATGTTGATCATGATACGGTGATATTTGAGTAGGTTGTAATGAATAAGACTTTTGTGAGTTATCCAAGTTAATATGGTACATTGAGCGCTAAAATAAATACAAATAAATCGATAGAAAAGAGTTTATCTGTTGATATTCATGAACAAAACCTTAAGAGTTATTGAACTAATTGTGTAAAAATTCTAACCAATTATTTTGCTGTAAAAAAGCATAGCATAAACAGTTTGCTGCCATTCGATTGCAAATATAAACATCAACTTAAGGTGAAAATAATAACTGTTTGTCTATATTAGAGTATCAAAAAATCTAAGCCAACAGGTGACATTATTCATACTTCCGTAATCAATAATCTCCTTATAGAGTAACCACAAAGATTTAGTATCATTTGGTGAATGAATTCAAGATTCAGAGTAAGCAGAACCTTGAAATACAATACACTGAGGTAAAATGTCATTGACCTTGGTTAACTCTATTGAATTTCATAACGGTGAAACTTTAGAGTCAAAAACTTATTCTAATAGAAATTGGGCATTATTTTTTGAAGTGGTGAAAAATCATAAATGATTCGAATATTTAAATTTAAGACTATCAAGGCAATATAAATAACCCAGATGTGCAGACAAGTCTTTTTAAATGGCTTTCATTTATTTGTTTATTTATTTATTTTAACACATAGATATTGGTACAAGGAGGCACCAAATACATATGCGCCACACACATCTCATTTGATATGCGTGAGGTCTGTGATACTGCGCGGGTGCCCAAACCGAAGCAGGTGATTTTCTTAGGGGGACACACCCCGAGCCTTCGGCCTAAAGGTCTAACCCGCAAGCATCGTAAGGAGATGCAGTCCCATGGTAGCCGGTGACCAACAATTGGTTCATACGCCATTTGTTCCCTCAGGATACTGGAGCCCATGTGCACCATTGGTTTGGGATCCGGTTAAAGTGCAGGACATTCGCTTTTCGTCCTCTCATTTTTGTAAACAACACTGCCACGAGAAGGCAGTGAGTAGGACTTCCCTGGCAGAGACTATATACGCGTGGCCATGTGAGAGCATTTCGAGAGGGAGAGCGGACTCTTCCCACTCTCGGCCGTACCAGGGCATTTGGGGGCAGGCCATTTGTGAGTGAGTGAGTGAGTAATGGCCTTCATTTGCTTATATATGGCTTACATGATAACGAATTCTAAATAGGTAATAAACTAAATAATGACAAGAGAAAATTTTGAGCACTGATTTAGTCGAATCGCAAAAGTCGTTTTCTTGGTCATTAAAATATCTATTTAAGCAACACCATGTATTTTCTTACAGAATGATATCCTTTAAGTAGGCACAGTTACGAAATTCGACAGAACTGACTATTCAATAAACAGTAAAAGTAAAAGTGTGTTTCTAAGAATAAAATATGAATTTACTATTTTTAAACAGCGAAATCAGTTGTGAAATTGCTTCTTGTCGATCCCATATATAGAAGGATTTGGGTTTTAAAGGACTACATAAGCAAAATCATAATCCATTATTAGTATTATACTGCTGTACAAGATTTAAATCTTGTCTTTAGATTGTTGATAACAAAATAAAGAATAGATGTTTAGCACCGTTTTGCATTGGTGAACATCGAATTTGTTTTATTTCAAAAACATGAAGACGGATTTTAGCTAACCAGGAGAAAATGACATAACTATCACTTACAACATAACATTTACCGTCCAGGTAACGTAGCCCTTACTTGATTACACCCTGTTACATCATCATATCTTTTTTTAAATATATTTCCGATTAGAATTATTTTTAACTGGGCTTAGCTTATTTTATTCTTACTTATGATGACCTTGTGTTCAGTTATTTTCTTACGCGATCACTTAGTTTTAAACATACAGTCTTTCTTTACTATATCCATGAGACTTTTATGGCTTTGAAATAAACATATTTACTCTATCCTTTTGACTTGTTTCAGACCTTAGCTACATAATGTTCTTATTAACTTTTCACCAACTTCATATCTATATTCATAGTTTGTCTGCAGTTCTGATATTGAAATAGTACCGATTGTAAGGGATTGACATGAAAACAAGAAAATGAAGTTTATGTCACTTTATTCAAATCACTGTTCTTTTTTCAGACTACTAAAAGAAACTATCAGTGTTACAAGATTAATATTTCATTAGTTCGATATATATATATATATATATATATATATATATATATATATATATGGATCAAAATACGTAATGATATGTGCAGTGCAAAATATCTATAACAGGATGGCAACATGAAACACGCAAATATAACATTCATTTTGTTCTTACATACAACTAAGCATAAATTAAAATTGATATGAAAACTTTGACTTTACTCATTATGAATTTAATGGAGAAGATTAGTCAGTTATCTAAAAAGAAACCATGAAATTTCTTATAAGGATCCTAGATGAAATACAAAAAAACCATCAACATATAGACATCTAGTGTATTACTACTGACTTGGGTTGACAAACATTTATCTATATACAGTAGTATTTGCTCCTGTTCTGTCTATAACAGTCCAAAGATTAATATATATCCGATCAAGCTGTAAATAATGATGAAAAAGTCAGAAACGAAACTATCGCAAAGAATTAATGATCTACACTTTGACTTAAACAGTTAGTAAAAAAGTCCTAATCTAAATTTGATCTTAATTATAGTTAGTATTAAATGAAAGTTCTTCACCAAAAAATAAAGTTGCTTTACACTTTTATCAATCAAGGATAGGAGTAAGAAAACTGATTTCAAATCAATTAAGGAAACTAATTTAATTTATAGGTTAACAGAGTGAACTTTCCATAGAAACTTCTTAAAACAGAAAATATTCCAAGTTTCATTACGCTACAAATTTGTGTTGTGATAAACAATAAAAAGTCTGTGTATATAAAGAAAAATATATTACATTAAAGCATACATCAGAAAACCATTCAAATTAGATTTTTTACAAGAATGTAAATGAAATGAGGAAATTTACGCATATATTCTATACTGCTTAACTAATAATCTACCAAAACCAAGTAAATTTTAATGCTTCCACCATCACTAATAATCATTAAACGTAGATGGTAACAATTTAGTCACTACGGTAATATGTGTTTATTTGTTTATAATCCACATGATAATTCGTCGATTAGTAAATGGTCTTTTCTAATTATAATTTGTATATACGATGCCAACTTTATGGATCGCGTGAATCTAGCCAATACTATACAACAAAAAAGCTCATTTATATGGTAAGGGGATAACAAGTGACCATTGTTAGAACTTTCATCAAGACTATCTTTTATAGGGATATTTAAAATCTGCATATACAATATTGATCTTTCTAAACGATACAGAATAACATACTTAAAGATAAACCAACAAGTGAAGCAAATGCAAAGGTCATTGCACCCGAAATGGATTCATAGCTAATAGCGAGTTTTGTCGCATAAAAGTAGAGTGGGATTTTTGATAAAAGTGGAGTTTTTAGAAGTATTTCCAGGAATAATTTACGTTCAAAAATAAAGTTACAGTCTTAAGACCTTGCACTATAAAAGGAAACTAAAACGTAATAACATTCTTTTGAAATGATTGAATTTATTTAACTTATTTTTAAGTGTATTTTAGTGATTCGTTTCCTTAGAATCACTCTAAAAATTTCTTCGCCAAATGAATAGTGTAGTATAAAGGTAAGTGAATACACAAGACAAAGATTCAAACAAAAACATTTCGTCATATATTATCGTATATTCTTAGTAAATACCTTTTACTTTTAAAATGAAAGTACCTAGATGATATATATATATATATATATATATATATATATATATATATATATATTCTTTCCTGCTGAATATTTGAAGTGATTTAGTAGGAAACTGTCGAACTGTTTTGTATCTGTCAACGTTAGTCAACAAGGTGTTTCTATGATTCCAAGGATGACTATTTTAAGATATTTAATCTTGTGGTGTCTGTCATTATGTTAAGCCCAAATACCTTATTATTCTAACTTTCGGACAGCCTATTCTATTCCTTCTATTTGAGTCACATTCTGACCTTGTTTATTATTCGCTTATCAATATCTTGACTGCTTTATATGAGCGCGTAGGCATATGCACACTTCTTATCCCGTCACTCATCACATGTCTGTAATTTATTTTTATGGGCTTATAAATATTGATTAACTCTTTGTTAAGCGGAGAGTTGGCTTACCAGCCATCTCCACCGCGCGCCAATTTAGCTTCGCTTTCTAATCTTCGCATCGTTCCTCCGTTCGTTTGTCTAATCAACAATTATACGAAATATATGCATTCAAAACTCCATTCTAGTTATTTGACTTATTTAATTCCGTTATTAACTAACGCAATTTAAGTCAATGATTATATACGAGGATAGACGACAGCAACCAATCATTACGATCAAATTGGAGTCAGATCACGGGCCACTAAAATCTCCTACCACGAATTATAAAAAAATCAAGACATGTCATTCTTTATCTACCCGAGTTTTGAATGAATTTACCTAGTCCATACTAAGAAAATCATCACGATATATGAACAAACGAATTTTTCTAGAAAAGTTATCAAAGAATAAGTTCATACAGTCATACTTACTGCTCTGTCAAAACAATCTGTTTTCTTCAATAAACTATGCGGTATTCTCAAGTCAGTTGTAGAGGCCACCAATGATGGACTTGATATATTTTCCCACCTTGATGCGATTTCAAGAGCGGCTGATGTTTTCTCTTCTTTTGATTTTTGTGGATCTAATAGAATAGCTTCATAAAATTCTTGTATATCTTTATGTTTTTATTTTGTATTAACCCACAGAAAAAAACAAAACGGTGAAAACGAATAGTTATTTTGATTATAAAGCTAGTTAAGTAGCATATGAAAATACAAACTTGTTTTTCATTAATGAAATAAAGTTACCCCTGGTTATTTCCTAAAAACCTTAATGTATCATGAACGTTTAATGCAAATAACTGAATAATAATGATAATAATATTAATAGTAACAGTATTACTTTATGACATGTAACATAATTTAGACTGATAAATGGAAAATTTAGCTGTAATTTTAATAAACAAAAAGTTGTTGAGCACAAGACTCAGGATTTTTTTTCTTTTCGTAATCTCGTATCTTTTTATCCTCGATTTCAACGCTTGTACAACATCTAAATTACCAGGCATATATTAAACCGCACTGTAACTTGATGAAATTCAATATGCTTCTAAGTGAATATACCTTCTATTATAAACAATATCAAATAAATATTTCGCTTAGACCTCAAGGGATATATTACCAGTAAATTATTATCTGGATCCTCATATAAATTTTTCATGTTACGAAATAAAATATGCTATTTTTAAATAACTTATAAGACTAATGTTAGAGATTAAGTATAAAATCCCTACTTTTCAACCGTACAATTTATATTCTATCACAAACCGCTAATTGACGAACAGAATGAAACAAGAAAGTTCCAAATGACTATTTCATCATTTTATTTTCATATCATTTAAAATTGAATAATTTCATCTCCTTCCAATGTATAGTCTAATATTTTTAGGTCTATATAATTGAAGGTGTGCATTGATGATCATTCACATTAGTCGTCTATGTAGTCTTCTTTTTAATTTCTCCCCTAGGTATCAATTTGCAAAGACCTTTACCCGAACTATTCTAATAAAAATTTGTTCATACAATTGACATTTTTATCTTTATACAATTAATTACATCATAACTAAACAAAGATGACAATAAATACTATAAATAATTGGCTCATAAACAAAGTTAATAATTATTGGCTGAATAATAGATTTTTAAATATACTGAGTATAGAAAGTATTCTTTCACCTTCGGTTTTCACCTTTTTTAAAACAAAATATATATGCGGAACTCTACTGAATGATTGTTTCGATAATGTAATAAGAAGACGGAGATTATCAGAACTATGTGATATATTAGCGCAATACATTTCGAACAATCTGATCACACATATACTTGTTAAGAGCATTTATATATAGAAATAAAAGGTCAACTAGACTGGAAATGGGGTAAGAGGAGATAATAATAATAATAATAATAATAATAATAATAATAATAATAATAATCTGAACACAATTCAAAACCTAATCACTCTGAACAATAAGTCAATATTACCAGGGTAGGTTTAAGGTAAGAACAAACTATTTTTGAATACATAAAGGGGGTTTGAATTTTCCTAGGGATAAGGCTTCAATAAACCGTAGTATACGCCCTTTTATTAATATGGTCGTCCAGCTACTCATATTTTGAAACAAAACATAAAAAACCAATCGAGCACATAACTATTTTTTTTGGAAAAAACAACAAAGTTAAAAATGCATTAAAACACAAGGGTATCAAAGCTATATATAGATAAAAATAATGTTAAGATTATATGTGTAAATTATATTTGAAACAATCTCAGCGATTGAAATTTAAAATAATTCCAACGTTTCGTCCTGAAGAAGTCCAGACAAGTTGGCTGGACGAAACGTTGGAACTATTTTAAATTTCAATCGCTGAGATTGTTTCAAATATAATTTACATATATAATGACTTCTGTATACTCGGCGCCCAATATCTGTCAAACTATTCGTTCTAATCTTGACGAATATTCGTATAATGTTAAGATTATTAGAAAAACATTAAGTGACGAATGTATCTTGTCTACCGGTATTGAAATTGAATTAAATCATACAAGCTATTGTTTTTGTTAATCGTACGAATACTATCTAAAAGATTCATATTATCCTAACAAAACTTAAGAATTAGCGAAATGGTTAGTATGTGCTTTGTGAAAATTTAACATTCTATTCATATATTACCTAATATATAGTTGTCTCATAAAAGATCTTCCATATCACCGTTTTGTGATTTTTATCGTTTAAAAACATGGTATGTAATTATAAACCGAAGACAACAGGCTTTAAACTCTTAGACCTAGTTATCTTGACGGATTTTGGCCGATTGGAGGAACACTTAACTTTACCTTGAATATGAACAGTTTTTTATCCTTCTCCTTGGTCATCAACCCTATGAGAAATTCAAATTTCGAATATAATATTTATGGAAATAAAAACAACAAATTTGGTTGAAATCTGTTGAGTATAATTGCATTTATGATAGGCTTAATAGTAAGAAGAAAGTATCATATTGAAAGAAAAACAGACGTATAAAGTAGCTGTGTATTTGAGAGTAGAGAAAAGGAGCAATCGTTTAAGTGTAAGGAAATCAGCAAAGAAAGAGTTATTGAAAAACCATCAAAAATAAATTTTTAAAAATGGTTAACAATATCACCTGAAACAAATTCAATTTTTCCTTTACTTATTAAATGCAGTTTGGATCAACTTACTAGTTGAGTTCAAACCTGTTCCCACCTAAATTCCAGCACACACTGTCCTTCAGTTGAGTTTAATCTGATGAATTCATTTATTTTACAACGATAAGCTAGCTAAGCCTCTGATCTGAAAAATTCTTTGCTCAGCTAGATATACATACATACCAGAATTGATGTTTACTATGAGACTCGAACCCAGTACTGTTCACTTCAAACGCCATAGCGTTATCCACTTAGGTACTGAGTCCTGATAGTCACTTTCTTGTGAAATGGGATGAAGTTTAAATTCACTTGGTACTGTTTACTTGAATCTTCCCATTGATGTTTAGAACTGCAAATGACCAGTCTATTATTGGCATATGTGCATCCTGTGCGGATTGCCTCGTCATTACTTTAAGTCTTAAGCGATGGCATTTGAAGAAAACGGTACTGGGTTCGGGCCTCAAGGTGAACACCAACTCTAAGATGCAGGTACGTCGAGATGACGAGTCACAAAATAAGACGAAACGCGCGTCCTGGATTCCACTGCTAGCCACCATTAATCTTTGCTTATAGGGCTTGTGAATTAAGGCAATATCGAGGTAATACGTACAGTATGCACATATACCAATAAGAGACTGATCAATTGCATTCCTTAACATCAATGGGAAGATTCAAGCAAAGAATACCAAGTGAGTTTATGCTATGTTTACTTGATTCCTTAGGATTAACTCCTGAATCTATAAACATTTGACAGCAGAGGAGGTGTGGTCAAGAGAATACAGTTCATCTAGAGAATCCTAACCAGAAAGTACAAAAATAACCCAAACAACAACGAAAATAATTGACCCATGATGGAAGTATTGGTTTCAAGACTTTCCAAACGATTAACAATAAATATATTCCTGTGATTTTGCGATTATTTTTAAATAATTCACAATTTATTTTGGAAAATCTGTTCATACAATCGTTGTGAATTCTAATATTACGCTTATATCACGGCGTACATATTTTAAAAGATTACCAATAAAATTGCCCAGCAGAAATGAAATTTTTGAAAATATCCAATATATACTTAACAAATAAACCTGTTCAATGATATAATATTTTTGCTAAGAGACTCTAACGATGATAACGGTTAGAACTGGAAGTTCTTATAACAAAATTCCGATAACGAATATTTTGTAATTTATTGTTTAAACAATCATACGTTTCGCCGAATAAAAATTATACTTTAACCTACCAAGTAGACCTAAAAACAATCTACTTTGAAACACATTCATCAACCGATTAAGGGCTTGAACCAGTAAACCATCTTTTTCACTGTCTAAGTGGTTGCGGTAGTTTGTTATTTGATTTAAAGCCAGGTGTGCATCTATAAAAACATAAAACATAAGTACATTTTATGGTTGCAGTATGTATAAATCCAGTGCTATCAAATATCACGCGATGGGTAGTTACAAATCTTCATTATTTAAAGAAAACGCAATAGTCTGAACTTACAAAATACGTCGTCAAACTTCAGAACCGTAAGTAAGTAGTGAAGTATGACAACCTTACACTACTGTCTACGTATCTCTTAATTTGTAGTTACTACCAGCCAACACTAAAAATAAACTTTATAAGAAGCTAACTGACTGTAGATAGCTTTGAAGAATATTCGTTTTTGCTCCACAAAATTCCGCCTTGTCGTTAATTTGCAGTTATATTGTATGACAAAATCATCACTATGTGCAACACCTCATAGCACACGTATATTCAATAAACATCTTTGACGTGTTTAGTTAGGAATAAAAACTGAAGAAAATGGCGTAGATGCTGTTTAACGTCTTGAAGTATCATTCGATTTGCCCCGGAGGCAAAGCTATTTGAAAAGTCACTATCCACCAACTTCAACATTTGAAGTTACCAAATAATTTTGCAGCAAAAGCCACATAACTTCTGGGTGAAAATTCGCAGTTTTGTAGCGCGGATATTAAATAAATAATTAAATTAAACTCTGAATACTTATAAGTATTGTTATCCTAATTTTAATGATAAGTCTTCATAAACTTTCTGGCTGCATATCATGACTTATGTTTTCCAGCTTTCTAGAAAATAACTACGGTTCAATTTATACCGCACCTTAATCAAAGTTCTTTGGTTTTTATATAATGACGTGTAGTAAGTCCCAGAAAGTACTTATTTTCATGAAACATATCTCCATAAGCTTCAAAGAAACTTCATTTATAATGCACATAACAGAACATGTATGCTACAAATCGAGCCGGTTTAGTTTTTCTATATACAACACATAAAGGTAGCTTATCTAATGAATTTAACTTCAGATTTCTCGTGATTTCAATCGAAATCAACTTACTGTTGATTTTTTTAGTGGCACTATTGTCGCATTTAGTTATATTTCATCGCCTTCCTTACGACTATTGATACACTTTTCACAATTACACTGTTTTCTGGAAAGCTTGAGTCATCATCCCAAAAAAATAGTTTTAAAAAACCCAAATGCCCTGGTACGGTCGAGAGTGGGAAGAGTCCGCTCTCCCTCTCGAAATGCTCTCACATGGCCACGCGTATATAGCCTCTGCCAGGGAAGTCCTACTCACTGCCTTCTCGTGGCGGGAGTGTTGTTCACGAAAATGAGAGGATGAAAAGCGAACGTCCGGCGCTATAACCGGATCCCAATTCTATGGTGCACATGGGCTCCAGTATCCTGAGGGAACAAATGGCGTATGAACCAATCGTCGGTCACCGGCTACCATGGGACTGCATCTCCTTACGATGCTCCACTGCCTTGTGGGTCAGATCTTCAGGTTGAAGGCTCGGGGTGTGGCCCCCTAAGAAAAGTACCTGCTTCGGTTTGGGCACCCGAGCAGTATCACAGCCCTCACACAAATCAATTGAGATTTGTGTGGCGCATATGTATTTGTTGCCTCCTTGTACAAATGCCTATGTGTTAAAAATAAAATATCATAAGAGAAATTAAAATGCCTTGGGTGAATAGGAATCATAGGATTCCAAATTACGGTGACATAAATTTCGTAACCACTTAACCAGTCTGAATGACTGTAGATAATTATGTTAATTCTTAAACTGCGTAATGTTAACACTCTTCCTTAGTAAAAATCTTGAGTATTTACAGAAATTTTCAGGCCATTCACTTTAATGAGTTGATCAGTCATGTGCAGTGTGAAACCTGTTACACCTGTTCTTTAATACTTTGCCTAAGTTCCGAGAAATTCAACAGTTAAAAGGTAACTTTATCATCTTCAGGTAAAAAATATTACATAACTATGTCAGATAAGCAGGGCATAAAAATTACTGCTTGTTTCTAAATAAAAGATATCAGATGAATATTTACATGTAATCAACGTAAAAATTGATCAAAACAGTGTTTGATCAATCTTAAACAGTAACCAGAATGGAGTTCATTATGAGTAACAAGCTATTTTAATCTTTTTTCGTGTAGATGGTGATAATGTATTTAGTATACAAAAGGATTATAGGAACTAATCCTACACTTCTAAGCTTCGGAAAATCAAAGCACACTTGTTTTTTAACCTAAAGAGTGACATTCTTACTAGTGAAATTTCTAGAATGGTGAATAAGCCACAACGTGATCAACAAAAGTTGACTTACTTGACCAACCACTTGGCCTCAAGCAACTTCATTTCCATTCAATAAATAATTATCTTTTATACTCGTAATCAAAAGAATAACAAATTTTTTGATTCCTTACAACCGTGCTTATTTCAAAGCTTGCCAAAAATCTAGGACTACAGTTTATAATTTAATATAATTAAGCTTTCACGGGTGAGAACTGAGTTCATTTATAGCCCACTTCCTTTGGTTACAATAAACCTTATTTTACTTATCAGATCAATGATTTCAAATTTATATTTACTTCGCCCCTGTGCACCTAATCAAAACTATTGTAAAATTAGTAGGGGACACCAAATATATGCGCCACACAAAACAATGATAATTTGGAGAGAAGAAGAAAAGAGAAAAAAAAAGTAATGAACGTGGGGAATTATAAAAAAAAAAGAGAGAGAGAACAATGGTGCGGGAAACGGAAAGGTACAATCAGAAGAGATCTTTCAGTTAAGGAAGATACAACCACTTTTTATGACGAAAGTAAAAGAAGGTTACAGCAGGATCGCCATTGGCTTTTATTCTGAGCCATATCTGATAACGTCTCTAGCCACTGCGTTACACCGTCTTTCGGACCCCAACCAGGGAGTCGTGAAGGACCAACAGAAGCTAGCCCTTTGCAGTTTTCTTTCATACCACGACACCATGTCATATACTGACCGCCTCTCCGCTTTTTCCAACCAGTCCCAGAGTCGGTGAATAATGCACGACGAGGAATTCTCTGGGACGACATTCGTAGAACATGTCCAAGCCACCGAAGTCGGTGTTTCAAGATGGTGACACCAATTTTATTATCGTCTCTGTGACCGAACACTCGATGCCGAACCTCTGCATTACTGACATGGTGTTGCCACTGGATGCCAGCAATCCTTCGGAGACAACGATGATCGAACACAGAGTCGTCTAACATCTTCACCTCGGAGAGGCCAGGTTTCACAAGCATAGAGCAAAACTGCTCTCACCGTCGCGTTGTAGATCCGACCTTTTACAGCCAGACTAAGATCACAAAGGCACCAAAGATGGCCCAGATTGGCATAAGCCGCTCTGGCTTTCACTATGCGTGCATTGATCTCATCACTCACGCCACCACCAGCACTTATGCAGCTACCTAGATACACGAACTTCTCGACTACTTCTATCTGCTCACCATCCAGAGTGAGTGCGGGATTAAAATCCTGCCAGTCTTGTAGGAGTACTTTGCACTTCGAAGGTGCAAAGCACATACCATACCTACGGACATTGATTGCCAACTGATTAAGTGCGGATTGCATGGTTTGGGCATTCTCGCACAGTATGACAATATCATCCGCATACTCAAGGTCGAGAAGTCTTTCTCCAGGCAACAGGTCTACACCACTATTACTTACATCTATCAGAGCCGTTTCCAGAATGTCATCGATGGCAAAGTTGGAGAGGAATGGCGAGATTGAGCAAACTTGCCTAACCCCACTGCTCGAATGGAACAATGGAGAGAGGTGATTGTATGCCCTCACTCTACCTGAGGTGTTTGTATATAGGGCTTTTAGGATGTTAATAAACTTCTCAGGCACACCCTTCTTCAAAAGACAATCCCAGAGAACAGTTCTGTCCAACGAATCGAAGGCAGCCCTGATATCAAGAAACACTACGATTATTGGCCTTTGATAAGTATGGCGGTGTTCTAACACTTGGCGGAGGGTGAAGATATGATCAATACATCCTCGACCAGAACGAAACCCAGCCTGCTACTCGCAAGTCAATCCTTCTCGGGTTCTGAACAACCTATGAAGTATGACGGAAGCCAATTGCTTGGACGCAATTGGAAGTAGACTTATCCCCGGATAGTTGTTACAGGAACGACGTGAATCCTTTTTAAAGATAGGGACAACTATCGACTCATTCCATGAGTTTGGTACACACTCTAGTTCCCAGACCTTTGTAAACAACGTCGTCAGTTCCTTAGTCAGAAAGTCACCACCATCTTTAAAAAGAGCCGGAGGTAAGTCATCTAGGCCCGGTGATTTGTAGCGTTTCAAGAGTTGGAGTCCCTTGCGGACTTCCGCCTCATTTGGTGGATCAGTCGTCACCGGCCATGGACGGCAGGACAGTCTGCGCAATGTTGCCGGAGCAGCAGGCCAGTTGAACTGCCCTTCAAAGAATTCTGCCCATCGTCCAAGAAATCGATGGATGTTAGTGATTGGCATCCCGTCATCCTCGCAGATTGTTTCGCTCACACCAGACTTCTTGCTGCCAGTGGCTCGGATGAGTTGGAAGAGCTTCCAGTAATTACCAGATGCAGCTGCTGCTTCCAACTCACTGGCACGCTCCGACCACCAGGCTTCACGGTCCTTACGCAAGCTTCGCCCGATTTCATTACGTAACATCCTTCGTCTGTGGTCAAACTCACGGTCACCCGGAGTAGACCGACGGGCTTCAATCAGTTGTAAGGAACCAGAGGAAACCCAGTGCTTGTAAGCGAGACGTTTCGCGAACCCACAACTGACTGTACCCGCCATTTTCATGGCGTCATGCAATTGCAACCAATGCTCATCTATACTTTTCGGTGGAATGCTAGCTAGCCTAGAAGCTAGCTCGGTTCAGTACTTACTAGCAACAGAAGTTCCAACCAGCTTGCTAACGTCAATCCTTTGGTGGCGGTCACTTCTTTGTCCACTGAAAATTAAGGTGAGATTGGCGCAGACCAGAGCATGATCAGAGTCCAGAAAGGTACTCCAAAAGGAGAGGCAGTCTTGTACACAATCACGCCAGCGGTAGCTGATCGCGATGTGATCAATCTGAGTCCAGGCCTGAGATGCAGTAGAGGGACGCCAGGTGGCACATCGGCGATGACTGTGCCGAAAGTTAGTGCTAGCCAGAAACAGGTTGTGGTCTGTGCACAGTTGCAGTAGACGTTACCCGTTATTTGTCCTGCGACCAACGAGTCCTCACCGGCCACCTGAACGACTCTCTTCTGTGCCTAGACGCCCGACCTGAGCATTAAAGTCTCCAGCTAATACTACAATATCTGTCGAACGCACTTTCTGAAGAAGAACAGATAACTGGTGGTAGAACTCATCCTTGATTGCATCTGGGCTGCAATCTGTCGGGGCATAGGCGGAGATGACGAAAAGACATCGTTTCTCACGCCGATTTCTTCTCACTTTGATGGAACTTTCTAATCTAACAGCACATAACCGACTGTTAATGGGGATCCAGTCGACTAGTGCTGCCTCAGCTCTTGCGCTTAGTGCGACACCAACGCCAGCAAGACCAGACGAAGATGCCACAGGGTCTCCGGATAAACGCACATAAAACAAGCTTTTTGAAGCGACAGATGGAGAGCGAACTTGTAGTACTTCACCAGAGTCTTGAATAAGGGTCTCGGATAGACAACACACATCAATATTAAGACTTTCCAAAGACATAGCCAGCCCTATCTGTTGTCCGACCTGCATAAGTGTGCGAACGTTGAAGGCAGCCAGTTTGAATGGTGCACGTGGTTTCAGAAAAACTGCTTCAGTACTCATATTCGGTAGTAACATACAATTTTCAACCAGGCAGTGACTCGAGAACGTTTAGATAAAGCTGAATTTTTACCATAGGCGAGCTGCTGTCTGAGTCGAAACGGATACAAAAAGTAGAAATAGGAGATAGTGAATAAATGACGTAATAAATAATAATAATAATAATAATAATAATAATAATAATGATAATAATAATAATAATAATGCTAATAGTACCAGTCATCTCAATGTTAGTCGGAGAGAAACGAATATTTTCCATAAGCAGATAGCTCATCATGGTTTTAGTGCGTGGGCTGAAATACTGCCCGGGTGCCCAAACCGAAGCAGGTGGTTTTCTTAGGGGGACACACCCCGAGCCTTTGACCTAAAGGTCTAGTCAACAAGGCAGTGGAGCATCGTAAGGAGATGCAGTCCCATGGTAGCCGGTGACCGACGATTGGTTCATACGCCATTTGTTCCCTCAGGATACTGGAGCCCATGTGCACCATAGAATTGGGATCCGGTTATAGCGCCGGACGTTCGCTTTTCATCCTCTCATTTTCGTGAACAACACTCCCGCCACGAGAAGGCAGTGAGTAGGACTTCCCTGGCAGAGGCTATATACGCGTGGCCGTGTGAGAGTATTTCGAGAGGGAGGGCGAAACCTCCCCGCTCTCGGCCATACCAGGGAATTTGGGGGCATTGTAAAATTAGTAAATCGAAAACTAATTACGAGACAGACTTTGGAAATACTCACAGAAATCACGACTGGTACTCCAAAATTAAAGTATTCGACAAATAATTTATCAACTGAACTTTCGGATTATAATTTCATAACCATTGATAAATAAAATGTCTGTGGAATCTGGTATACATATCAAATACAGTTTTTTTGCGAAAAACTGATGCTTATGTATCGCACTAATTTGTCAACATTCCCTACTTGGTATCATAATAAACAAGATAAAGAATTTAGTTTAACATATTACTACCAGAATACCAGAATACTTTGTAGAACTGAAAGTTATATTCGGTCTTAAGATCAGGAATGTAAAGCTAGACCAGTGAGTTTATGGAAACATTTGAAGCTCAAAAAACAAATCATTGTAGAATTTACGGCGGTTGCAAAAACGTCTTTTGAACAAGGTAGATCATTTAACATAAAGATCGGTATAGGCCCAACATCAGACAATGAAGAACTGAAAAATCAGAAGGAATTATCAAAGGCTTGATAAATGGGGTATTTAGTATGAAGTCTATATTCTCAGAAAAAAATCGATAAATCCGCATTTTATAATTTTCAGACTCATCTTTTATCTTTGATAAACTGTTGTATTAATCTAAAAGAACAGGAAGAACAGCAGGTTGGTTTTTTTCCTTAATATGTTTTAGAAATACGATGAGCATACTGATATTGTACACTCTCGTCATAACGTGTCACCCGCATAAATAAAATCGTAAATGGGAGATATCGCATTAATTGGTGCCGGAATATTAGAGAAATATGACTAAGTTCAGATGAATATGGTTGTAAATAAACGGGTGGAAGTTTAATTTATGGACTACCTTTGAGCGATACTGAATTTACCTTTGAAAAACGTAACCACTTGCTGGGGTTTGAAGTGTTAAAAACCAGTTTGAAATATCAGGATTAGTATTTAGAGTGGGTAGTGAGGGTTGAAAATGAGAGCTAGTGTCTTTGACAAGAAATGATATCAGCCACAATATTAAAATGACATTTAGCCATATAGATGAAAGAGTTTAATTTGAACCTGGATTTAAATTATTTTTTCCGTAAATCTTCGTCCCATCAATAATTGTCTGTTTAGAAAATGTGAAAGTGTGGAGATATATCAACACTAAAAAATTTGAATAACTTGTCATTATTATATAAACTGATCTTTCATGAGAAGTCAATTAAAGAAACTTGTGGGAAAAGTGCACGCACGGAATAGAAGGCTCGTCCTTAAAATACGAATTTAATAACGGCATTAATCTTCCACCAAAGATTATATAGGTAGAAACGAAAATACTTAGAGTTTCAGTCAGTGTTTCGACAGATAGTATGTCTTGAAGTGTAAAATAACAGCTAAAGCACATCATTAAACAAACTCAATACAATTTCAAACTTTAAAATAAGGACTGGGTACTATGTTTATTTTGTCAAAAATATCAGGCTTATAATATTATTCTTCCTATTTTCGGTAGATTAATTTCCAGAATTCAAAGAAATTTTGATATTATCCTAAAGTCTGAGGAAATATTAAGGAGTTCGTCGCACTTCTCTGAAATTTTCCCAAAATTGATAAGATTTGCCACAAAATCAGGGATTGATTACATCTACTCTACCGGGCTGTACAGAAATTTTAAGACTTAGATCACTAAAAAGTGCATCATGTTTTGTTTAAAAATGCGTAAACTGTAGCTTACTTGATTATATATTGAAGGTTAATGTGAACTTACCCCTTTTGTTTTTACAAACAACCATCTCTTCATGTTACCGCTTTTTCGCACATGTACTGTATTAATTTTTTTGAAATACTTTAACAAACAGTAATTCCCACTTGTCTATAAAACGAAAAATTGTGTGAGAACGATAGCTGGAATCTATTTAAGGGTCGCTTAAAGAAAAATAACTTCATTTCTGAAGCATTATTTACCACTGATTTGATAATTATTATTACGTCAAACCTGAAAGCATACAAAGGCATTTTATCACTTATTACTTCCCCCGTTCTTCTACTCAGCTTAAGTATCATCATCGCCACAAGACACGCAACAAAAAAGATCGACGTTCATATTTTCTTATTAATTTACAGTACATTTTATAGATCGTACGTTTAGTCTCAAAACTGACATTAATGATATTTACAAAAGAATATCTATTAGAATTGGAATGAAAATCCACTAAGCAATTAATTGCTTGTATTGAAGAAGTATTTCAAGCCAGTCATAGAGTTTCTGGGACACCACATCGACTCACAAGGGATCAAACCACTACAGGAAAAAGTAGAAACTATTGTCAAGTCCACAGGGCCGAATTCAATAAAACTAGCACGTTGGCCTCTTGACATATGCAATTTTTACCGTCGTTTCTTACCTGATCTCGCGGTGACTTTACAACCTCTAACAGTTCTCTTGAAACAGGATGAAAAAGAAACAAAATCAAAAAGATGAACTCTCTACGTTACTGCCCGATGAGAAAACTGTTTTTGATAAAGCAAAGTCTATTATGTCAAATGCTACTACGTTGCAACGCTTAAACTCTGATACCATAACACATCTAATTCTCTGCGCTGATGCATCTCAGAGAGCTGTATGTTCGGTATTACAACAACGAGTAAGCGACATTATTGGACATGTGGCATTCTTCACTAAACGTCTATCACCAGCTCAGGAACGTTACAGTATCTTTTTGACATGAGTTACTAGCTGTTTATTTAGCGGCAACGCATTTCGCCTTCCTGTTACAAAGACGTGAATTTACCATAATGGGTGATCATAAACCCGTATATTATTCCCTTAACACGTCATACTTTCGACATTTACCACGCGAAGCACGACAACTGGATCATACCTTACAATTCACAACAAATATCCAGTTCATCAAAAGGACATTTTATTATCGTAACTGACGATTTATCTCGAACAGATATCAATACACTTGTACATAAACAAGATAATAACCTCAAAATCATAGGTAAATTACAAGTAGATGATGAAGAACTAAAAACCTGCAAAGAGAAGTCCAACATGGTTCCTTTCTTCGATTCACCTATTACCTGAGATGTTCAAACTAGTGACTATCTTACTTTTATTCCCAAAGCTTATCGACGAAGGGTATTTCAAAATCTATATGAACTCTCACATCCTAGCATCAATACCGCAACCAAACTCATAACCGAACTCTTTCTCTGGCCTAAAATTAATTCGGATATAAAAAGCTGGACATGAAGCTGCTTGCAGTTTTAACGCAGCGAGGTCCAATGACACACAGTCAGTCCTCTTGGAAGATTTACGCCAAATGATACACGTTTCATACACGTATATTTAGATATAGTTCTTTCCCTTCCATCATCGAACTGCTTTACTCATATTCGTGTGCAGATTTACCAGATGGGCAGTAGCATACCCTATCAAAGACATCTCAGCAAAAACTGTCACATCAGTATTTCTTGATCGTTGGATATCAAACTATGGAGCCCCATCAACTGTTACTACAGACCATGGTTCTCAGACCCAATCCGTCCTATTTCAGGAATTTATCAAACTTCCGGAAGTGAACCGTATCGAAACAACAACCTACCATTCAGTAGCTGATGGTTTGGTTGAGAAAATTTACAGCCAACTCAGAAGCTCACTGGTGGCGCAATCTGATGTATTGAAGTGGAGTGATTCACTAACACTTTTACTACATGGAATTCGTTCAACTATCAAAGAAGGTATTGGCCTCACACCAGCCAAACTAGTCTATGGTACAACCCTAACACTACCAGGTCAACTAATCGACCCAGATACAATAATGTCAACTTATCCAACTCGATTCGGGATCCGCCTGTCGCAAACAATGCGAAATGTTGAATAATAGTTTTGCATATTATTATTATTATTAGCAAACCAAAATACATAGTTGGCCGTATTTACACATTTTTTATTGTGCTCAAATACATTCATGTAACTCTGTACACTAACACGTTACACATCACTAACGTGCATATCATATTCTGTAGTTTATATACATCTATCGATACAAAAAAGCTTTTCTGTAGAGTGTCATTGCATACTTACCTTTGTTGTTATATTTTATATGCGTGTATTATACTCTCCTTGCATTGTCGTTACATTCCAGTGTTACCTCCGCAAACTCTGGGGGGAGCTGTGTAAAGATAGTCTCACCAAACTTATTTTGCAATTAATTTTTGATGCTACTTGTATTTCTTTTGTTAATTCTCATAACTTGCATATTAACTACAAGTGACTGTAAAACTTGATTAAAATTGCATGGCCTTAAATACTTCCTCCTCCATTTTGAATCCCTCATAGTCTTCAAGGACTATAAACTCGGCATGGGTAGTTAACTTCCCTAGGAGAGACGTTAAGCAATCTGGAGCAATAAATCTACGTTTGCGAATACAGTTCAAGCCCGATTGCAGTGACCGGCGTTCGCTTAATCGCCTTTGCCATGTATAAGCCTTCCAAATACATTTTCTCAACACATCTCCACCATACAACTTTCGCTTCAATTGTTTATGTGCACTTTCAACACGGTTATTTGTATTGTTACCTGAGGCTGCAATCACGTAATATGATCGATTAAATTGACGAAACTATTAACAAAATCGGTCAGCAAATTGACTTGTAATTATCATTAAGTAGTGTTGTTTTCTCGGTATCTTCATCCATTACAGATGATTCTCAGTATGTTTCTCTATCAGTTGCTCATTCAGTAAATATCTCAAAACCTTGTCAGTCTAACTGGAGGTTTGGCGACACAATCATGCATGCAAATAATCAGTATAAGCAGTCAAGCAAATCTCCTGCAAACTGAAAACATCAATGTCGAAGTTACGCCAACACTGACTAAGGTTCAAGCCATTATCATATATATGAGTTGGAAGTGTACTCCCCTTGGTTACAACTTATATTCTTCCTGATAATCACATGAGCATCATTCACTGTTGATCATCTTGTAAAGACTTATTTAGCCAAAGTCATCGCGCGGCACTACATCACCAACAATTTATAATCACTATATCTCAATCAAATCGTATTCCGCCTCATGTTAAACCGCATACTTGCAAATAACTTGTATGCACCATCAGCTGTTAGGTATAGATACAAATAAATTGTCTATGTTAGATCAGAACATTGAGTCTAGAGCATGTCTCTTACGAATACACTCATGTTTAACGAATTTCTCTTATATATCTGTCCAAAATTCACATAATTATCACTTTTCACTCATTAAAACATTTTTTGATAACCATTCATATGTATTAGTAGTATCACTAAATTCTATCAAGGTCAAGTAAAAATGAGGTCGAGAAAATTTCCCCATATCTAAATAAACCGTATCAAACTAACTGGAACACTAGTTGGAATTCTGCACGGTTATACTTTTGTTCTTTCAGTTAGCCTACTAATGCAGATGCAATTAGAAATCAACGCATGGACAACTTTCTGATTTCATAATTTGAACTAAAACTAATACCAATATTAAAATCTCTACAATATTGATTGCTTTCAATATTTCTAGACACAAATTACTTAGTATCTATAAGTTATTATCGAAGGCTATTAACACTCATCTCACGTTTTATTACTATTATTATCATCCCATTTTTCATAGCCCGAATAATCACCCCAAATTTTCATTTCAAGCGTGTTAAGCATGCAATCAGATATGTTAAAATTATTACATGTATTTCCCGACCAGATGCTGCTGTCTTCTTTTTGATTTATCTTTCAGCTTATCAATGCTCGGAGGGTTCTTACTATACTTGTTAACCTCCGGCGCGCGATAACCCCACTCAACTTGGTATCGTAACAACGTCACGTTGATTCTGGTGGGAGAGTAGTGTAGTGGCAGTGGGCCCTAACACGAGACAATACGAAAAATAGACATTCAACATTTAACGCTAGGAAATAGCTAACAATGGAGAAGGCGGGAATAATCATAGGAATAAATTGGGGCTGATCGTATGGCATGGCTCGGCCATGCAGGCGTGGTCCCAGCTGAATGTTATCTCTTATCTTTTATTCGTATTAAATATATTGTTCCATCTCTAGCCGAAGCTTGTTTTCCATCATGTATTGGTAATTGTTACGATGCGATGAGGTGGTGTAGATAATAATGTGACTTACATATGAGATCTTATAGATTAGGCAGTTGCATCATGACAAATCTACAATTTTAGGATTGGGTCTATTATTAGAGCAGTACTAATATCATAGTAGACCATAATTCTACAGGTCTACATTATTCTAAAGGTGCGATTTTGTTAATGATACTTCTGATGTTGAGATGAAATATATTGGTTAGTGTGTCGGTATTGTTTGCGGTAAAGAAAGTTCCCCAATCAGTGCTTCTTAGGTAATTGTGGAAGTTATTCCAATCAACCTCGCGATAATTTCTACGAAGTGTTGCGGTTTTACGTCTACCGGTTGTGGTTTTTATATTAAGGCTGCATATGACAATGTTATGATCACTACCTGGAAATATTTTTCCAATATACACAGTATTGGGGGTGAGGCCACTGGTAAAGATTAAGTCCAAGATATTTTGATGTCTGGTAAGGCCATTGACATACTGGGTTCATTGTCCGAGCTCTAAACATTCAATAAATGATTCATAACGTTTCGGTGCCTTGACTGGGAACTAAGAAATTTCGGGCATGTTGAAGTCACCACAAATAAGCTTGCCTGTGAATGGAAGAGATGATGCTAGTGTGAATACCTCCGATACTATTGCTATGTCATCTATTGATGCGTTAGGTTGACGGTAAACACAGCCGAACAGTAGGGTAACGGA